TTCTGATGATGTTGTTCAAAAGAACAACGAGCACTCCACAAGCAAAACATCCAGCTCAGAGAAAGAAACTCCACCATATTATTAAACAGAATATACATCTAGTTAATTAATGCAGCTAGAATTATTTCGGATGCATCCTTTCAATGAAATTTGTACTTTTAACTGCTGCATTATAAATAATATCACGGCATTCATTATTGATCTCAATATAAATATCGAAAATATCTCTCGGTGTTAGAAAACTGCCTATCATTGTATGCGTCCTCAATCGTATGTTTTACTTTTAAAAATCAGAGCTTATGGTATCTGTATGAACCACTAAGACAGTTGGTCAGTATAAATTTTTTAAGCATAATGCATGAATTTCTTATCACATACAAATGACCATTGTGTTTGTATTTTTCTAATTCAATCAGTTAAAGGGGTACGCAACTTATCAATAAGTTAAAAATGAATAACAAGGATTGGTGTTTGATGATAGACTAATATTGTTAAGGTCAAAAGCATCTATACAATGGTTGAATAATATACTTTTATCATGTTTATTAATTAAGCTGAAGCTAGTGAAGGACCAATCAAGATGATGTGTTTTTCTTGAAAATATAAACAACATTTCTTGCAAATTATCATCTATAAACCATTATTCTCATCACATAGTTACAAACCACTGAGGAAATCATATAATAAATGATCTGGTGTAAACAAATTGTTGGTAAGTAATTTTCAGTTGCCCAATTTCACCCATTTATTATATGTTCTAATGGCACTGAAACTGAGTTGATACAGTGTAGTAACTCTATGGATAGTTTCTCACTGTATCATGACAAACTGTAATTTCTGGAGAGAGAAGTTGTGACAAATGTTCAGTTCAGTTTGTATCAGACGAGAGATACTTATCCACTGGAGGTTATGGGTGAGAGCTGAACAATCTAATGAGATGATGATGATGATGATGATTATGATTGGAGTCCGAATATAACATGAAACCAGAGGTGATGAGTTCGGTCGTGGATTTACCTTGTTTAGAAATCTCCAAATAGAATGAAATGGCCGTTCACTGCTCCCAGTATCTCAATAATCGTCAAACTAACATCACTTCTTCATTCAAGCCAAATATATTTCATTCAGTCACCTGATAATGAAATTCGTCATGCTAGCTGCAGATAACTCATACAGACCAGATTTTATTAATTGATTCGGAAATAAGTGTAAAATAATATCTTTGAATAATCATCATAATGATATTGACATATATATAGGGAGAATAGCTTATCGTTCACAGGAAAGCTGATTTTATGAGTCAGATTTTTACCAAACATTTTATTCATAATATCACAAAATATAAGTGTAGACTACTTGGTTGTGGTCCGTGAGACGATAATAATCGATGGTTAGAGACTTTGAACGTCAAGGCTCAAAATCGTTCTCAATGGTGTAGGTGCATCCACTTTTTGTGTTCTCTCAAATTCCAATCGTCTAAATTCCTCATCACCTCTGTCATTCTCTTGCTAAACTTATTTCTTTGAATTATACTTCATGAATAACATCTTCGATCACTAATATTCTCCATTACCGCTAATACTTCTGCTATCTCTACCACTACGGGATTTGAACTGTCAATTGCTTCAGTGTGATAATCTGGTTTGTCAAACTGAACTTATGTATGAACGTATGACGTTCTACGTTGTAAGGCACTTACTGATCTTTTGTTTTCAAAAATATGTAACCTCCACATTCTGCATGTAAGCATTTCAACCTATCCGCTAACCGACATCAAGTGAAGACCAATGCAAAATTTAGACTATTCAAGAATATTAATATTAGTCACATTGAAACTCTATTTTAGTAGTAACGTAACATTCGTTATATAAGTAAAATGTTCCTACGTATTGATAGTAATTGTCAACAAATTGTATTCTATTATTATCAGGTGTAAAGATTGGAAAATTATTGGTAATATGTTCTGTGTGTATATTGATGTTAATTATCGTTTCTAATTTCTACAATCCTAATCAACTTCAATTCGATGAGAATATACACAATTTGCCATTAATTTTTGTTGGTGGTCATCAAAGTTCAGGTGAGTAGTTTCAGTGTGACGTTATTTAAATAAGCAATCAATTTGTGAAATGTGTTATTGCATTTACTAAAAGAGTATTGTATTACACACGAAATCTAGTAATGTATGCTACACTTTTGAGAAAGAAACACTTACTGATAACTAACAGATTATATATAAATGATGAGTTGTATGCTGATAAGTGAGAAATAGTTTTTTCCATTTCAGAGTTTAAACATATTCTTCTTCTTCTTCTTTCGCCTGTTACCCCCAATGGAGCATAGGCCGCCCACCAGTTTTCTCCAACCAACTCTGTCCTGGGCTTCCCTCTCCAGTTCTGTCCAATGTTTGTTCATTCCTCTCATATCTTTCTCTATTTCTCGGCGTAGTGTGTTCCTTGGCCTTCCTCTTTTCCTTTTACCTTGAGGGTTCCATGTGAGGGCTTGTCTAGTGACGCAGTTGGGTGCTTTTCGTAGTGTATGTCCTATCCATTTCCACCGCTTCTTCCTGATTTCCTCCTCCATTGGAATCTGACTTGTTCTCTCCCACAGTTCGTTGTTGCTGATGGTGTCTGGCCAACGAATACGAAGTATTTTGCGTAGACAACTGTTAATAAACACTTGTATCTTCTGGATGATGGCTTTGGTAGTTCTCCATGTTTCCGCTCCATACAGTAGAACTGTCTTGAAATTTGTATTGAAAATCCTGATTTTGGTTTTGTTTGAAAGTTGTTTGGAGTTCCAGATATTTTTCAACTGTAGAAATGCAGCCCTTGCTTTGCCAATCCGCGCCCTCACATCTGCGTCCGATCCACCTTTCTCGTCGATGATGCTGCCAAGATATGTGAAGGTGTTAACGTCCTCCAAGGTATCTCCATCAAGCGTGATTCGGTTGGTGCATGTTGTGTTGCATCGGAGAATTTTGCTTTTTCCTTTATGTATGTTGAGACCTACTGCTGCAGAGGCTGCTGCTACACTGGTCGTCTTCTCTTGCATTTGTTGTTGAGTGTGTGATAGAAGAGCCAGGTCATCTGCGAAGTCCAGATCGTCCAGCTGCGTCCTAACTGTCCAGTTGATACCGTGCTTCCCTCCAGATGTTGACGTCTTCATAATCCAGTCGATGACCAGGAGAAAGAGAAAGGGTGAGAGTAAGCAACCTTGCCTGACACCGGTCTTCACCTCAAAAGAGTCTGTCAGCTGACCTCCGTGTACGATTTTGCAGTTGAATCCATCATAAGAATTCCGTATGATGTTGACTATTTTCTCAGGCACACCGTAGTGTCGAAGAAGCCTCCACAGTGTTTTCCTATCCACACTATCGAATGCTTTCTCGTAGTCGATGAAGTTGATGTAGAGTGGTGAGTTCCATTCAATTGATTGTTCCACAATGATCCGTAATGTAGCAATTTGGTCAGTACACGATCGATCCTTACGAAATCCGGCCTGTTGATCTCGAAGTTGGGCGTCTACGAAGTCCTTCATTCTGTTTAACAATACTCTGTTGAAGACTTTGCCTGGTATTGAAAGAAGAGTGATGCCTCTGTAGTTCTCACACTTGCTCAGGTCGCCTTTCTTTGGTATTTTGATGAGGTATCCTTCTTTCCAATCTGATGGTACTTCGTCCTCATCCCAAATCTTCTTGAAGAGAATGTGAAATATTTTCGCAGTTGCTTCCACATCTGCTTTCATTGCCTCTGCTGGAATGTTGTCTGGTCCTGCTGCTTTGCCGCTCTTGATTTGTCTGATGGCTATACTGATCTCCTCAATCGTAGGTGCGCCAATATTAATTGGGAGGTCCGTGGATGCTACTTCGATGTTGGGTGGGTTCAGTGGAGCTGGTCGATTCAATAGTTCCTTAAAGTGCTCCACCCACCTATTTCGCTGTTCGTCAGTGTTGCTGATTATTTTCCCTTCCTTGCTTTTCACTGGTCGTTCTGGTTTACGATAGTTTCCGGCGAGCTTCTTTGTAGTTTCGTACAATTGTCTCATGTTTCCTTCTCTTGCAGCCTTTTCCGCCGTCATTGCTAGATAATCCACATATTTTCGTTTGTCAGCTCTGATGCTCTTCTTCACTTCCTAGGTTTCAGTCAAGTTTCAAAGGACCTGTGATAGTTAAGCTTTTCAAGAGCAGTGTGTTGTTCCTGTGATTATTTCGTTTCAAACTGTTCTTATAAAATCAAAGTTAACCACATACATTTTACCTTTTTGATGGCTCCATTTTTTCTGATATCGTAGATCATGAATCACACATATGCGTTAAGTAGACAGTTGAAAAATATCTGGAACTACAAACAACTTTGAACTAAAACCAAAATCAGGATTTTCAATACAAATGTCAAGACAGTTCTACTGTATGGAGCGGAAACATGGAGAACTACCAAAGCCATCATCCAGAAGATACAAGTGTTTATTAACAGCTGTCTACGCAAAATACTTCGTATTCGTTGGCCAGACACCATCAGCAACAACGAACTGTGGGAGAGAACAAAGTCAGATTCCAATGGAGGAGGAAATCAGGAAGAAGCGGTGGAAATGGATAGGACATACACTACGAAAAGCACCCAACTGCGTCACTAGACAAGCCCTCACATGGAACCCTGAAGGCAAAAGGAAAAGAGGAAGGCCAAAGAACACACTACGCCGAGAAATAGAGAAAGATATGAGAGGAATGAACAAACATTGGACAGAACTGGAAAGAGAAGCCCAGGACAGAGTTGGTTGGGGAAAACTGGTGGGCGGCCTATGCTCCATTGGGGGTAACAAGCGTAAGTAAGTAAGCGTATATAAACCATCAACAATCTGCCATCCATGACTTAATGAGAATCGAGATGAATTTATTTTCAGTGATCTTTCAAGTTATTTAGAATTAAAATAATAAAACTTTACTCAGTTTAACTAGATATTCGTCTTATAAACAAAATATCGTTCAAAAAAATTCTTAATCACCTGTATAACATCATAGGCATCATTGTTCCAAAGAGCATAAGGGAAATTATTATTCCACCCAAAGTATCAGGCAAAGGATCTGGGAAGTTTATATATTGTGACTTCTGTGACATATTGATCAAGATAAGATAAACAACGCAAACTGTCGTAGTTGTGCTTACACCGATCAGTGAGATTGGATTAACTCGTGGTAAAAGAATACGTGATAACCCAGGAATAATTCGACAGATTGTCCGACTTATATCAGTCGTATGCTCCTAAATTCAGAAAACATTTAATAAAGCGAAGATTATAAATTCAAAATCTGTTAACAGATATTATTCTTACGTCAATTTTTGAGAGTCCGGTTTATACCAGTGATTAAATTCTGTTCACTATTTATCGATTAAAATTTGTGCGATTACGTTTCCTAGTTATTTCTTTTTTGCGAACGATTACGGTTGACACCATTTATTGTGGTTCAATAGCAAGTTTGTCACGAATTCAGTTATAAAGTAGTGATTGGAGTTCATCAATAAGTTTACATTATTGAGTTTAGAATAATTAGTCTATCATATCAATAAGGAATTATTTTATAAGTGACCGGTACATTATCGTGTAACGGAAACTAATACTGGCCAAAATTTAGTCTATAAAGACTTGAACTGGAAGAAAGAAAGTTTATAATTAAATGTCTAGCTCAGTTTTCAAACCAAACTGCGCGAAAAATTTTTCAAAAGGAATAAGACAAACCTTTGGCACATTAAGTAAACGATGAATAGTGCATAATCAGTTAGTTGTTGTAAAAGAGCTAATATGAAAAACAGCCTATATTTAGAAGGTCAATTAGTTTTTATACATCGGCGTATGAACCGGATATTTAGACGTCAGGTCTTAGTCTTGACACGAGCGTCATTCGACTCCATCAACCAAGAGGTTTTGTATTACTGCACCAGTAAAAGGAGTACCATTGAAATACAGGAACTTTGGAAGACTTTCTACATTCATAAATAAATCTACACCGAGATTCAATTATCGGTTAATAATACGCAGGCGAAATAGCTCTACTTGGTGAAAATGAAGACAAGACGTAGACTTTTGGACATCTTCAGTAACGACATAGACATGTTTGGGATGAGATTCTCTTCCTCCAAATTCAAAATGTTACTTCAGGATTGCTCCGCATCAATGCCTGACTGATGCTAGCGAGTGAAGTAGTTCAGTGTGTTGACTACTTCACTTAACTTGAAAGCCTCACCAACCATAATGGTTTGGTGTATGACATGAATGGAGGCAAGGTTGATTGCTCTAACTTGCGTCACTTTTGGTTAACGTGAGATGCTGTGGTGCCTCCACATATGTTCCAGTTCGCTTACATCTAACTTGGTCAAGCCCTTTCGATTAATTTATTTAACCAAGCCATTTGTATAGCAACAATTTTTATGTATCATTCGTTCTTATTATTGTCTGGTTTGTATGAGCTCACATGACATAACCCACTTGTCATTTGACCTTGTCAATCATTCGTCGCTTTTATTCATGTGTGTGCACGCCTATTTCGCTTGTCATATATCGGCCTTATTTTTGTCTGATTATATATTCTTAGTCATGTTCTATCTCTTTGAGTTGGCTCTTAGCCTTCTCCAATTCGCTTCGCCCATTCGTTCGCATTGTAACCCAAGGAGTTGGCTCACTAGCCTTCTCCACATCGCTCCATACGATTCGCTTCAGTCGCTCGTCAGTGCACTACAATGTGTATAAGCCAACCAAAGGATAAGTAAACTTTGCATGACCTATGAAACTAGAGATATATATGCTGCATACTTCTGAACATAGGTGCCTCTGATGCATTGTTTGGATATCATGGAACGATCGAGTGATCAATACCGTTAATGTGTTATGTAAAAGAATACTTAGGAGTGTCTAAATGAAGTCATGGAATCGGTGCAAGTAATCGCCGACTTTTGGCCGGATGTAAGCTATCTAGTTACAGTGCGCTCAATATTCCTGACAGGTGGTTGGAGACGTTAAGTGACAGTAGTGCAGATATATTCATTCTTGATCGTCATCTCGGTTTTGAATTCTAGAATTCACTCGTACACATCTTATCTAGCTTTTCAAATCATGAAATCAACGTTTGATACTTCTTTCACCGTTGCTGCTACTTTACTTCGATCTGTTGGACATTTATCTTTTTAAATTTATCATATCACCCTAATATAGTATGATAACTTGGGTTAACGCGCGTATATATCAAGCGAACTACTGATCATGACTGATTGATGTTTCAGAAAGACCAATGATCGCTTCGAGTTCTGGTACTAATAGTAATAATATTCAGGTCCCAGACGCTTTAAGTAAAACAAAAATCATGGTTGTCACCATTTTCACAATAGCTAGAGGAAAGTTAAGAACTCATTAATTATTCGCAGCATGTTAAGCACATGTGCGGAATCTAATGACACAAAGCTATCTCAAATTATAGTGGTTGACAAAATGAAATAACCAATCTTATTATCAAACAAAATTAGTGTAATTTTTGAGGGAAATTTATTCTACAGAAACATGTGTCAATGATCGTTTCATTCTAGAAGTATTAATAATTTTTGTTAACATTTGACTAAAATTTTTTGAGCTAGTTCATTCTCTTTCGCGATCACCTGAATACAGGTAAATACAATAAAATAATATATTCAGATCAGTTATTTCTAAAATTTCAGACAACGTAGGTTTGTCATAACATCCAAATTCTTCAAGGTTTTGTGTTACTTTGAACAATCATAGCATTTGGTTAAGCAGTCGTTGAATATAAAGTCATGATCGGAAATCCAACTGTAGATGCAACAATATAAACGAGCAACTATCTACATTTGAGTGATATTTTCATATGTTGACGAATAGCAGTTATCACATAGTTGATAGACATATTATCAAAGTACATTACATTACTGCTTTATTAATAGAAAAATGTTTAATTTATTGAATAGTATTGAAACCACGTTACGATACTTGAGTTGTTGACTTTCAATGACTGTTTTACAATACTGATCTCAGTTTATTGAAGTATTGGACTGAGATTTCTTGAGTGGGTATTCTGTTTATATGTTATGCTATAATTAATAACACTACTATTCCTATCAACCTATTGATTCTGTTATAAAGCATTGGCTTTTAAATACGACAGGTCGATAACTGAACACAAAAACCTGACCAAATAATAATTACAAGCAAGTTATTCAAGGGAACAGACGGACTCTAAAACATCCATGATATTTGAATAAGCCAGTTACTGTTTTTCGGGTAATATTTTTTAAAAGATTCCTTAAAGAATCTAACGAAAGAAATGCTTGATAAAAAAATTAATTGGGAAATAATTTCAATATGCGAATATATGACTGACTTGTAACCAACTTGATCCACACGCTTGAATAACATGTGCAAAAGCCATATTATCAATTCCATAAACAGAAAGAAGATGAACACCAAATGCTATTAAACAAGGCGTAAGCATATGATTTGAAGAGATCTAAATAATGAAAAAACACAAAATAATGCTGAAATTAATTAAATCTGTATTTAAACATGTTTAAAAATAAAAATTAAGCATTAAATTTTAAAGGAATTCACATTGGTCAAGTGAAAGAAATAAAGCAGAAACTGATCATTACACATGGTTGATGAGACAAATGGTTATCGAGTAGTTGGTGCTATAATAAACGTATGGAAAACACTTTCAAGAACCTATCAGATATCAAAGCCATGATCTACATACCTTGAAACGAACACCGCCATTTTGCAAAGCATAGACATTAGGAATAGAGGATATTTGTGGGTCACTAGTATTCGATCATAGGTATCATCAAGCCTATACTTGTGTATTTTGAGACCACTGAGTGAGACTAGCTGAGGTCTGGCATAGGGAATTACGTAAAGTTAATTTGGTTGATGAAGCAGAGGATCTTCATTAATCGAGATGGTTGGGAATGCATCGAAGAGTGATTGCCTATAACTTCCCTCGCAGTGGCTATATAAGCATGACCATATAAGAGAATTTCGAGACAGCGGACGCCCCCCACTTTCGGTTAAACTAGGTTATTCGGGGGATACGTTTGGTGTCAGGAGTAGCCAAACCAATATATAGCACGTGTCAATGGAGTCACTGACTGATGGACTTGGTCATAAAGATATATGCAAGTTACTTGGTTGGGGTCTGAGGAACTATAGTGACCAACGGTTAGAGACTTTGAGTGGTGTGGCTCTGAATCGTCTGCCATAACGCAGGTGCACTCATTCTGTCTTTCCTCAGTCCCTGGATCCTGAAATATTATTACACTTTTCCACACTCAATCTTTTCTACTACTAACGATACTGTTACAACTCTGGAATTTTTCGTCTTGATAATTTTGTCTCACTAAGTCACTTGAGCCGAAAGACAAATGTCAGGTCCTATGTTACCTATAATTGACTAACTAACTTGGACTTTAAATGACTGAGATAAGACTTAATCTTTTACATTTCTAACCTCAGTTAACTGGTAATATTATGCGACTACAATCCATTTTCCGTCAGAAGCCAGATGCAACCTCTTACACTAACAGCCATCATGCAACTAACTTTGAGAATTCATTGAGTCCTAGTGAGAAGTCGTGGCCCATCGAATTCAATAACACCAGGTGTAGAATAATTATCATGGATAATATTAACGATGGTTGTATAATACTGGGGGATTGAACCAGATCAGGAACGCAAAATATTAAATCCCAACTCAGTGACTTGAAGGTTAAGCAGGGCTTATTCTTGCATTCAATCGTTGTTTTTTTGTTTTTCAGTGGCGGTTTAACTTTAATCAGTCCGTGATTTTGTTAGGGGTGCTATGACATGTGAGAAAATCTATCTTAAAATTTGAACATCGATTCGAATTGATTTTCACTTTTCAATGCATTTTTATTGTATTGGTTAATTTACTGTAGTTCTGAATTTAGAGGAAATTACTCAGTAATTAATAATTAGTTAACGATCGGAATACAATTTGAATAAACTCGATTATTGTGGAATCTCTATTCAGAAGAGCTAATACAAAAAATTACACTTCTCACTCTAGTTTTCAGACAGGGAAGAAGAGCATTGAACTGGTTTCGTTTATTGTATTTGGATTTATAGTTACGAATAATTAACAAAGTACACAAACATATCAGATGTAGGACTATAAATTGCTAATAATGACAATCAGTAATGTAGGCTGCAATGAAATAGAACCTTTCGTTACTTAAGGCTGTTTGCTTGATTGGCTTAGAGAACATTATAAGTTTAAAAACAGTGGAAACCCCTAAACATGCTTTGTTTTAATTAAAATATCCCCTATAATTTATGATTCAGATCTACTTAAGGAATAAAATTAGGGACTATACGTTTTGTAGTGATGATATTTTCTCTGAGATAGGTCAGACCTTCACATTTATTATTTCTGGTTTTTGTGATATAATACGAATATTTCCGAATGTCTATAAAGCGTATGCTACTACACTGAATACTCGATATGCCTCATTTGTCAAAGTCTCCCGTAAAAACTTTAGGAAGACAACTGTTCTGTAGCAGGTCGCGAACCAGATATGGGTAATGAGTTTTAGGTACTTAATAAAGTATGACGATTTTGTTTGTTATGACAGACAATCAAACCATCGGAAAATTTATCATAGCTACTGTTACGCAAAAATAGAAATACGACTAGTTTACTAATCACAATATGGTTTTGTATACTAATTGTTTGACAGCGAATTTCAGGTACAAACAAACTAAAATGCTATTTGATCCAAAACGAAACGCCTAAAATACGTGATATCGAAAATTCTAAAAATAGAAACTACTTCCATACAAACAACTGGGTATGTTAAATGACTTTTTTAATGAAGATGCTCACCTCTGTAGGTTCAAATATTCGTTCGACAGCCTCTTTTATTTCAAAAAACGATAAGAGAATAGCCAAAATGGTAGAAGCGAAAACCGCAACTACTTCAAATCTTTCATACCCCAAACTATAGGATTCAACAGAGGCTTTTTTTCTGTCAGTCCAAAAACTTGTTAGTGCGACAATAACGGATAATAAGTCGAATATCAACAAGTGTGTAAATGCTGTCAACGTTAGGCTAAATTTGTAAGAAATATAAGGAATATTTATGACTAACCTATTGCTAATATTGCATTCTATCAACAAATAAAATAAACAGGCTAGGATGACGAAAGCGATACGGACAGCACGTAGTGCTCTAGCTTCAATCTTTGTTAGCTGTTTAATTTCTGATATTAAATATGATAGTAAAGAGTGCGCGGATCGGAAATCCTGACAAACGATATTGATTAACTGTAGGCAAGAAAACATTCTGAAAAGGGAAACAACCAGCAATTAACAACACTGGTTAATACATTATATTAGTAAAAATACAAACTGAAATACGATAATATTATATCCATATTAAAACAGTTATTAACATTTCTGTGGCTTATTTTATTCCGAAGTATAGTCCTCACAGACTGTTTCCATTGTTTTAGCGATTGTAACACAGTCTGATGTCTGCAAAACCTTCGGAACAATGTTACAATCTTCTTTATCTTCGGAATCTCTACTACAAAAATGTTGATTCAGTCTTTCCATATCCTCTGGGAAATTTGAACACAATAATTTCTTTATGGATCGAATACGTTTGAAGACATCATCCATTTCCTTTTTTAGTGAAATGATTGTCTTTGTATGAGCAGTTAGTTCGGTAAACAGTACTCTACATCTTCCATCAGAGAGCTCAGAAACAGTTCGAAGCATTTCATTTGTTTTTTCAAACTTGGTAAGCATAGCTTCTTGTAATGCAATTATTTTTGCTGCCTCTGAAGAACTGATCATATTCTGGATAGAAGCATCAAGTGACTGAGAGGCTGACATTATATACACAGAACATCTACGTTACAAAACAAAATAAAATGAACATAAAAGTAGTATTTTGTGAAAAGCTAACCGAGGCTATAAAAAATAGCAATTTTCGTTAATCGACATAATATAACTAATTCTGAATAGTGAATAAGAACTTGAGTGACGCCAACGTTTAGTATAACTTAGTTACGCCTATAAATTTAACAAAATGTACTAGGCCTCTCAGTCTTGATCTATCCCAATTAACGCACCTGCCTCTGTATTTGAAGAGTATAAGCTGGATGTTGTATTTGCAGACACCAATTATCTACCGAATAAACGAGATTTTGAGAGAATGTCATCGCACAGTCAAACAATGTAATCAGTATAATTGAGGTTGGAAAACGTTTCTTTATGTTACAGATTTATAATCCTATGCCGTTCCTTTGAGTTGTTTTCAGAAAGCTATAGATAGTAAACTAAATGGGAATGATGAGATAAGAGAACCATCTTTGAGCTTAGTGTTAGGTTGGAACAGTACAGAGAAGTAGTAGCATCCCTCCATTCTACCAAGTACTTTGGAAAAATCCTTAAAGACATCAATAAACTCCTAAGACACCCTTCTTTAATAGACAATCACGTAGCATAATCCTATAGAACGAGCCAAAGGTGATCCTGAAATCAGAAAACGTAACAAATATTGACCTGAAATTAGTAGCGCTGGGATCTGATACCTGGAAAGTAATACGGACGTCCACAAGTGAGGAGAAAACCAACCGGCTTATCATGATCCAGTTTTTCACAGGCTTTCCATAATCTTCGTGCAAAGTACTAATACCCATTTCCTGACCCAGTATAGATTAACCCACTGTACCAAGATTAACGAGCAATGCTTCGGAGACATCTATTATGGAATACTAATAACCTACGAATATCCTCAACTCTTACCGGCCATTTTTTGCAGCCCTAAAGTAGGACAGAGTGAACTTCTGCACAGTACACTCGTCCTTTAGTCAGCAAAAGGATATCTCACCTACGTCATAAGTGACACAAGTTGGCTAAAGCCAATCGAGCCTTCTGTATCCGTGCTGACATTTCCTCACACAAAAGGCTTTCAGCACTGATGAGACTCTTGAGATAGGTGAGGCGGTCAACACTCTCGACTACTTCACTCTCTATCACTAGTGTAGGTGCCGATGCAACTCAATGCTGAAGCAACATTTTGTATTTAGCCAGGGAGAATCGCATCTCGAATATGCCTGCATTGTTTGTTAATGGGGCTGAAAATTCTGAAACGTGTCAGTCTCTTCACTAAACAGCACTATGTCATTAGACGATGAAAGTGTAATCTCTAAAAGTGTGTCTATGACAAAGTTGAATAAAAATGCAGAAAATGGGCAACCTTAATGAGCACCGCTCGACTAATCAGTTCCGACGACAGTTCACCATAACCTCTGACTTGGCTAGTAGTGTTCGAGTAGAGAATTTCTATAAGGTTAATGTACTTCTTTTAATGACATACATTGCTACAGAACTTCACGATCGACCGAGTCAAGCATCACCTTAAGGTCGAGAGATTCAACTATTGTCGGGCGTCTGAACGTAAATCTGTGTTCCTGGACTTGACAATCAGTGATTGAGACCAGTCGGATATTATTCCTTCCAGATCCCATATTCTACCTACGATCTCAGCGAATACTGGACCACATCCGTAAGAATCCCACGCGTTAACTTGCCAGGGCTTGCTGCTCACCCTCTATCACCAGCTACTATTACTATATCCTGACCGTAGCTTCTACCTTGACGTGGTGGTCGGGCTTTCCTACCGTGATCACCCAACCTAGCTATTTTGGCTGGAAGATATGTTCCTGTAGGTTCTACCATGCCTGACAGGTCGGTTGGAGAATGTTCAGACTAAATGCAGCTACTCAAGATCTGAGGGCGAAGTCGTACTGCTGACTGCAGAGGGGTGTGACAGCAGTAAGGTGTTTCCCTCGGACATCTAGCATCTCCAACGATGCTGTCTTCTCACAAGGAACGAAGGGTTAGGAAAGGTCGATCCTAAAAATGTCACACCCCACCTTACTCCACGGATTTCCGTCTCCGGCGGTAAGGCCTCTTAAACAAGAGAGTAGCTAATACTTTAAAAACCTTTAATAAAAAGGCCGTGCGTGACCGGCCTCAAGCAGTTTTCCCTTGGGCTCAGCGGTCTCGCTCCCAGGTCTCCAAAACCGACACTAATCTACCTTTTTCAGGTCCCTCAAGAAACACCCTTCCACGGTGTGGGCAGCCGGGAAGTGACAACCGCCCTCATACCCGTAACAGCACACGAGACCAAACTGGTCATAAACAAATCCTTCCTACACCCCCTAATATCTGTCCTATCTCCACGACTAACTCTATTCACATTCCTTCATCTCACTGCACCGCTAATGCAAACGATACGAGTTCACGAAACGTCATTCCTGGTCTCTTGAAACCCAGTTCTAGACTACGTGTTGGAGCATTTAATGTACGGACATTGTGTCAAATAGGGCAACAGGCCTCATTAGCTAGGACATTAGAATCAGTCAGTCAGTTGCAACGTAGAACTTCGTACGTATGTACATAAGTTCATGTTGCCATACCACAGCACAGAGACGCAAATGTCAAATCAAATCCCATAGTGATAAAGATAGTAGAGGTATTAATGTTAATAAAGAAGACTAGGGTTCGAAGATATTATTCAAGAAATATAATTCAGTGAGATAAGGTTAGAACATTAGAATCTCGCGCCATTGATGTATGCTGCATCTCTGAAACGCGCATACAAAATCCAAATAGGGTCATTCACTTGACCTCTCCATATCAAAATAAAGAACCAACTCGATTCGCTCTTCGTGTATCGGGTAGCCCCGATGCTGCTTTCCGGAGTCTCGCTGGTGTAGGTATATCATTGAGTCGTAGGGCTGAACTAGCTCTCCTAGACTGGATCCCAGTAGATAGTCGCTTGTGTGCTGTTCTACTTAACAGGACAGTAAGGATTCGGAAGGATAGGGACAATCGCCGTTGCCTCTTCATCATATCTGCCTACGCTCCCACTGACTGCAGTTCAGACGAGTTGAAAAATGAGTTTTACAGAAAGCTTTCAGACCTCCTCTAAAAAGCTAGGCGCTCTAATATAGTAATAATGGCTGGTGACTTTAATGCTCAAGTAGGTAGACTGAGTGAAAATGAAAGACACCTGGGTGGATCTTATGGTGTCGCGGCTCAGAGAACAGACAATCGCGACCGTCTGTTGCAACTATGCTCAGATAACCGTCTATTCCTAGCAAACACTAACTTTAGGCATAAGGAAAAGCATCTGTTGACCTGGCGACCCCCAAAGTCGTCTCAACGTTGGACCCAACTAGATCACATCGCCATCAGCCGCCGACAGAGAGGTTCGATAGAGGACTGTCGTTCGTTCTGGGGCACAAGTTTAGATTCAGGTCATGCCCTACTGCGAACGCGTATTTATTTGAGGCTTACTGGACGTAGGAAAGACACCGCAAGGAAACATCTTAGGGTTATACTTAATGATAGCAGATCTAAGATTATATTTTAGGAGCAACTAGACCATGTAAGTGATTCCCATCCGGAGGTAGCTTGGAATGATATCAAAAAAGTTGTGGAAACGGCAGTGATATCTGCTAGTAAGGTAAACAATAAGGCTAGAAAGAAGCCGTGGATCACATTAGCATTTGCCGAACTGATGGATGATCGAAAACTTATCCCACCTGGCTCTAAACATGATGAAGAGCGAAGTAAGCTTCGGCGCAGGCTGCTAAAAAGCCTACGCAACGACGGAGAACAGTGGTGGGCGGCAAAAGCGACAGAGATGGAAAAGGTAGCGGCGATAGGTAACAGTAGGCAACTATTCAGACTCATCAAGGTAACTGGTATTGGGAACCGGAATGTGAGGGAGACTATCTCGGAAAAGAATGGTCTTATTATCCATTCTCAGTCCAGGAGACTGAACCGGTGGGCAGAAAACTTCGGGGTTCAGTTCAACTGGCCTTCAGCCAGACTTCGGTTACCCACGATCCCCAGTCATTTTGAATAGCAAATTGATTTAGGTCCTCCTAGTCTTTATGAAGTTGAGAAAGTTATATGAAATCTAAAGCGAAGGCGAGCAGCGGGTCCTGATAGATTGACCTCCGAGATTTTTAAGGATGGTGGTCCAGTTTTAGCAACTAGGTCGACTGAGAGTTTAGGTAGAATATGGGAACTGGAGGTAATCCCATCTGACTGGTCTCAATCCCTGATTGTCCCAATTCATAAGAAAGGAAAAAAGTTTTCTTGTGACAACCACAGGGGAATAAGTCTAAATAATATAGTTTCTAAATTGTTAGCCTCCATTATACTTAGACGCCTTACTAGTGCTCGTGAAGAGCAGACTAGAGAAAACCAGGCTGGTTTCAGAGCTGGACATGGCTGCATAGACCACATCTTCACACTACAACAGGTCCTGGAACACAGACACGCATTTAGGCGTCCGACAATAGTTGTCTTCCTGAACCTTAAGGCGGCATTCGACTCAGTGGATCGTGAGGTTCTGTGGCATTAAAAGTCATTAAAAGGTGTTACAAAAAGTACGTTAACCTTATGAAGGCTCTCTACTCGAACACCACTGGTCGATCGAGAGCTTATGGCGAACTGTCATATTCGGGATGCGGTTCTCACCCTCGAAATGCAAAATGTTGCTTCTAGATTGGGTCGCATCGGTACCTGAACTAGTGATAGGGAGTGAAGCAGTTGAGTGTGTCGACCGTTTTACTTATCTCGCGAGAGTCTCATCAGTGCTGATGGCCTGGTGACTGACGAAATCTCGGCACGGATACAGAAGGCTCGATTGGCTTTTGCCAACCTGCGTCACTTATGGCGTAGGCGAGATATCCGTTTGCTGACTAAAGGAACGAGTGTACTGCGCAGTAGGTTCGCTCCGTCTTACTTTATGGCTGTGAAACATGGCCAATGAGAGTAGAAGATACTCGTCGGTTATTGGTTTTCGATTATAGGCGTCATCGAAGCATTGCTCGTATATCCTGGGACAACCGAGTGAGCAATGCTGTTATTAGGAAACGGGTGCTAAGTAAGCATGGCAGATCAATAGATGAAGTAGTGAAACTTCATCAGTTGAGGTGGTTGGGACATGTGTTACGTATGCCTAACCACCGACTGCCTCGACGAGCTCTATTTTGCAGTGTAGGAATAGGTTGGAAGAAAATTAGGGGCGACAGGACCAAAACGTGGCAGGAATCCATAAAGTCACTGACAAGTGGACTGAGTCATGTCGGTAGGTGTCGACTACCTGGTTGGGGTCCAAGAGATGATAATAATCTTTGATTAGAGACCCTGAATGACATGACTCAAAATCGTTTGCAATGGCGCAGATGCATCCATTTTTTGTGTCCTCTCAAACCCTAAACTTTTTAATTCTTCGTCACTTTATCTTTATCTTTTTAAGTCTATTTCACTAGATTCTACTTCTTGAATAATATCTCCTAATCTTAACCTCTCCGACCACTGCTATTATCTTCACTACCTCTACTACTATGGGATTTGAATTGACAATTAAATCTCTGTGCTAATAAGGTATGACAACATGAACTGATTTACGTACGTACGAAGTTCTACGTTGTAACTGACTGACTGCCTAAAATTATGGAGGAGTTCTGAAAGCTTCCCGTAAAACTCATTCTTTACCTCATCTGAGCTGCGATTAGTGGACGAGTAGGTAGATACGACGAAGAGCAAATGGCGAACGTCCCTATCTTTCCGACTCCTTACTGTGCCGTTTAGTCGGAGAACACATAAGCTTCTGTCTACTGGGATCCAGTCTAAGAGGGCCTTGGACTGGTGTTGGTCTTAGCGACCTGGGAGCGTGACCGCAGAGCATAAGGGATAACTGTTTAGGGCCGGTCGCACAAGGTCTTTTTATAGGAATTGGACGTGTTAGCTGTGCTTTCCAGATGGTCTTACTTCCGAAGACGGCAATCGGTGAGGAAAGGTGGTGTGACATATTAGGGGTGACTCTTTCCAAGTATTAGCAGTAATGGAGAAGATTAGGCTTCAAAGATATGATTCAAGAAGTATAATTCAGTGAAATAACTTTAGAAATAAAAACAGAGATGATGATGAATTCAGGTTAGAATTTGAGAGAATGAATGAATGCACCTCCGTCACTGCGAACGATTTTGATCCATGCCATTCTATGTCCCCAACCATCGGTAACTTTCGTCTCTCGGATCCCAACCAAGTAGCCTACATCTACCAACATGACTCATTCCACATGTCAGTGACTTCATGGATTTATGCCATGTTTTGGTTTGGCCGTCTGACATGTCAAGACCTAAAGGAACATATGTTCCAGCCATCTCTGTTGCGTCATCACGGTAGGCAAGCCCGACCCCTACGTCAAGGTAGCAGCTACGGTTGATGAGTAAAATTTAACTTGCTTTCCTTCCGGGAGTGAGTACTAGAAACAAACTAGGACAACTTAAGGTATGATATAATACAATGGACTGTCAGTCAACCAATATAGAACACATTTTTAATGGATTTATAGTTAGCAGGAAGCGTTCAGTATTTACTCAAATTTTCGGCACCTAATATCCTTTTATAACTGGAGAAATCATATTAAATTGCCTCAACGTACTGGATGTTTCGTAACATTAGTTTCAAATTAATGTGATATCTGCTTTGATTACACTACTCTCTATGATAATAATACGTTTTCGAGCCATATGTCAGGCTACAATGAGGAAGTTCAAAATATTTCTGACCCCACGAACTGAGCGTGCTTGAAGGTTCCTAAAATCAACTACGAGATGTTATTGAGCGTTTAGCATCCAGATTAAGAATTTGTTGATGTCAGTAATTTGCATTTCACTAGACGTCGGATTTTTCGAAAATATAAACGACCATATTTATTACTTGTTTAAACCTAAGAACATAAAGGTAAAGCTTAGTAGTTTGATGAATTTCAAACACCTCCATATATATTTATTGGTGGGAAAATATGTTTTATTTTCTCAATTGTTCACGATATTATATACGGGCAGTTATAAAACTTGATTCACCGGTAGATATCATGTGTACAGCAATGTGAACTAGTACTTCATAAATCTGATACGTTTGAACAAACAACACCTACTAAAATAACTAGCAAACTAGGTATATAAAAAACCTGGCAAAAGTTCAGAGTATAAACATGTGCACACAAAGACTGGCAAACCCCCAACCTTACTAGCAACGTAGAACACCAACCAAGTAGCGCGCTAAATTGTTAGGTTTCCAAACACCTGATACTTTCCGGCAATGTTGGAGTCATATCATACTAACGAAGCATGTTGTTTAGTAAATATGGTGTTGGTATGTGCGCCATTCTTGATATCTTCGGATGCTGCTTCGTTTCGTTGCTTATGGTTTTCTGACGACTTTTTATGTTTCTGTTTATTATGCTGTAACCTTATACACGAAGCCCACAATGTTGATATATGACTTTTACCGGCCACGACTTCGATGAAAACGTTATTTTCTCAAAATTTACCCTGTACTGACTTCACCTGTATGAAGAGAGTGCGGTTGGTTTAGTAGAAACATTTATTATCATTACCAAATGTACCAGTGATTGTTTTACTGTACTCTTTGTTTATTCCTACTGCGTACGCTCAAACTTCCCGTTTGTGTTGCTGCCATTTCGGTTAAACAGATCACTGTATCTCCATCCTTTTTCTCTGGCACGATTTCGATATTCCTTTGATACCTCGAAATCGCGAGCAAATATAACCCCTTGTATAGAGTAACTTTTCTGTCCTTGACTCGAGTAGATAATACACTCAGTGACGGGAACACGATTGGTCTGTATTAGTAATCTTAGTCAACCGCGACTCGTTGATGAGCCCGACGATCCATTACAACTCCTTTACTAAAAATTACTTTTAGATTGATGCAGAACATCTACGGTGTTAACTGTAGTTTGCATCCTGTATCCGGTTCGTGACCAGTTGTTAGGGTTAGGGTGATGCCGAGAAGTTCGCAAACCAGTTTATTGACTTCGTTTTCACTGGTTGTTTGAATTGTCCCATTGATGTTTAGAACTGCAATTCATCAGTATCTTTGGAATATAAACTTCTTGTGATGATTGTCTCGATATTGCATTCATATTACAAGCACTATTAGCAGAGGGGGATAATGACTAACATTTTGATCCTAAAACAAGCATTTCATTCTATATTGAACTCATCAGTTGGATCCACCCGCATCTCAGATTGAATGTTCACTCCGGGGATCAAACTTAACACATTTAAATTCAAATGACATCGCGTTATCGACATAGCTACTGAATTGAGGTGCTCGATTCCACTGCTAGCAACAAGCTATCTCAATTAATAACGTCCTTAACATAGAAGCAAGATCGATGCAAACCGCACACTATATATGCATTCCAAATAGATTGATTCAAACTCCAAATAAAAATGGATTGATCTTCTCCTATCCCACTTGCGAATGGACATCTGGACTCATTAGCCGAGTAGATGATGTCTGAAGTGAAAGGTAATAGAGTATTTAGGGAATACGGCAATATCACCTGGATCAGACGATCTATTTGAAGAAGACATACCTGACTAACCAAAACGTGTACACCTTTTCATCAAACACTCATTTGCGAAAAGAGCCTATTCTTCACCGTTTTCTTTCATATCTTCTATTCGTTAAAACACTCCGATCGCTCCATAAATCCAGACCAAAATTCTTCTCGTCGGCCATGAATTCAAGTGAACAGCGAAGCATGACCGCTGCCGTGGTGTGTCGATTTACTGCGTGTTCCTAATGTTCGTGATTAGCTCGTCTAGACAATCGTTACTAAATAGCATCTGACGGTTTATAAACCAGAAGGTGAACTTAAAGTGATGAATACGTTTATTTGGGACACTCCACAAAGTGAAGCGGAGAAGCAATGAGGAGAAGGCTGATGAACCAACTCCCAGGATTACAATGTGAACGAATGGGCGACGGAAGCGAATGAACAGGCGAAGCGCGTTGGAGAAGGCTGTTGAGCCAACTCGTAGAAATAGAGCATGACTAAGAATATATAGTCAGACAAAAATAAGGCCGATATATGACAAGCGAAATAGGCGTGCACACACATGAATAAAAGCGACGAATGATTGACAAGGTCAGATGACAAGTGGAACAAGTCATATGAGCTCATACAAACCAGACAATAATAAGAACGGATGGTACATATAGATTGTCGCAATACAAATGGCTTGGTTAAATAAATTAATCGAAAGGCTTAACCAAATTATACGTAAGAGAACTGGAATATATTTGGAGGCCCTACACTGCATGCAACTTATAAGTTGTGTTTCTGAGTAGAATACGCCAAATCAGATTCAAATTCCTGGATGAACACGAAATTTGAGAAACAGCCTCGGACACTTGACGTGTCCTGAATAGGGAGAAACACGTATTTTACTGTTAACCACTATCTGCCTCTGTTTACAGTTCCTTTATGGCCAGTTTTTCAATTTTCGTAATGAACACTTCAATTTATGATACGCCAAGCTTCTGATTGTTGTTGCACGTAAATAGAACGAAAGATTTGAAGGGTGTTCAGAAAAGCCATCACTCGTGCTACATTCATTAACTTTTCAACTTTAGTTTGTCTTATGAAACGAAGTTTCGACAGCAGTAATACTACTAGCTACTAGGAAGAAGAGTCGGTATCAAGACTTCCAGCCAAATTTGAGAGTTAATTCTGCGGATACCTTCTATATAATTTAGGCTTGAATCCCTGGAACTCTCAACATCGTGGAGTCTTGTCAGTAGAAATGAGAACATTAACGGTGGCATCGGAAAATTCCTTAAAATAGAAAGATCTTTTTTCTTATTTAAAAGGTTCAGTCAACACACTTTCAATGCAGATGAATAAACTGGATGAAATGTTCACACTCTCACTACAACTAATCGATTTGACTGTCACACTACGTTTATATTGTCAGTAGGAGGATGGAGGACGCCGAAACCAAGCGAGGAACTAATCAGGCCTCAGATCACCACTTCCTGGTCGCCAAGATGAAGTCGAAACTAAAGAAGCACTGGACAACAGAGCGGACAACATCACAGAATTTAATACGGCCTTTCTTTGGGATACAGTAAAACTTAACCAATCCAAGATATCCCTCAGCAATAGTTTCCAGGCCTTGCACGATCTACCCAGTGGAGAATGAACAACCATGTAGAACAATTGGAAAGGGACCAAGGAAGCAATCACTTCAACATGTCAGGGCCACTGGAAGTACCATCACAAGGTATGGATCTCCGTTGGTACTCTTGAAAAAATTGAAGAACGGAGGAACAAGAGGGCAGCAATCAGCATAATAATAATAATGATAACAATAATTTATTCTCAAATAACAAACATGCTACAAAAGACATGCCAATTTACAGGCAAGATCAAAATGCTAAGATTAGCAACATATTTCTTTTAAAACGGTATACAGTTACTGAAATATTTCATGAGATTCATTGGATTCCTATAGATGGAATGTACAATGCGAATAATGGGCGCGAGTTACGAAGCTTGCGTTACGACTGTCATCTTATTGACTGCGAAACGATGCATGATAGAGCCAGGTTTGCATATAACAAGAACTGATGCGGTAAATGTGCAAAGGTCTGGTTGATATTCATCAGCTAATGATTTCACGTGTTCCTGGGTAGGGCAACCAAGTCTACCGCCAATATCCGGACTAATATATAGGGATTGGAATAAGGTGCTGAGAATAGAGGAATAAAGTGAACGGGACGAGGAGCAGTACAGAAAATATTCTTGTTTAAAGCCGAACAACGGCTTCGCACATACGTTTATGGATAAAACAAAGGCATATTTACTCAGACTTTTTTTATATCAGGACACTAACTTTACACCTGCACTTATGTAGGTTAATGAAGACAATTCAGTAGTGAGATAACTAATGGGAAGTTAGTCGTATGAATAGAGGAAATTCAGAAGAACCAAGTTGTTAGCAATAATGTTGATTTATAAAATATAATAATGAGGCACAGTGATATAAAGCTTTTGCGGTATTTTATTTATTCTATTTCTTTTTATCTCTGTAGCTCAAGAAGTCATAAGTTAGCTCTTTTTTAGTATATTTGTCCAGACCAGCTTGTAACAGGGTCAGCCGAACAAAATCAGAGAACTTCAAGGCACAAGCTGAATACGCAGAAGCAAGTAGGCAAGTGAAGAACGGCATCAGAACCGACGGAAGGAAATATCTGGATGATCTAGCAATGACGGCGGAAAAGGCTGCGAGAGTAGCAAACATGAGATAAATGTACGATACAACAAAGAAGCTCGCTGGAAACCATCTTAAATCAGAACAACCACTGAAACGCGAGGAAGGCAAAGTAATCGGCAACACTGAAGAGTAGCGAAACAGGTGGGTAGAGCACTTTAAGGAACTCTCGAATCGAACAGTTCCACTGAACCCACCCAACATCGAAGCAGCATCTACGGACCTCCTAATTGATGTTGGGGCACCTACAATTGAAGAGATCAGTATTCCCATCAGACAAATCAAGGGCGGCAAAGAAGCAGGACCAGATAACATTCCAGCATAAGCAATGAAAGCAGATGTATAAGCAACTGCGAAAATATTTCACATTCTCTTCAAGAAGATTTGGGATGAGGAACAAGTACCATCAGATTGGAAAGAAGGATACCTCATCAAAATACCAAAGAAAGGCGATCTCAGCAAGTGTGAGAACTACAGAGTCATGACTCTTCTCATAAAACTAGGCAAAGTCTTTAACATGGTATTGTTAGATATAATAAAGAGCTTCTTAGATCGAACAGAACCCACCACTCTACATCGACTACATTGACTACGAAATATTATTCGATAGTGTGGACCGGACAACACTATGGAAGCTTTTTCGACACTATGGCGTGCCTAAGAAGTTAGTCAACATCATACGAAATTCTTGTGATGGATTAAACTGCGAAATCGTGCACGGTGGACGGCTGACAGACTCCGTCGAGGTTAAGACTGGTATCAGGCGAGGTTGCCTACTCTCACCCTTTCTTTTTCTGCTGGTTATCGATTGGATCATGGAGTCGTCAATATGTGCAAGGAAGTCCGGGATACCGTGGATGGGCAATCTGAATAAATACAAAAACAAATTCACGATTTGTTGAAACTCTTCACTATCTGTTAACAGTACGGAACAGTAGGTGAGTGTAGGAAAGGAAAACGGTCACACCACAGAGTCAATAGAGCTGTAAACCAGTGATAAGGATTTTAGACGTTGCTCATTTATTTTATATTATGTTTCGGTGTCGAAGGGTGGCCTACTGGAAAGTAGGGCTGGCTTTGATAAAGAATAGTGGGCTATAAACTGGACAGAGCTTGAAATGAGCAGTACCACGGGC